ACAGGGTGAGTAACTACTTCTTATTCTTCATAGCGGTTTGTCACCCAAAGTTAACTTAGATATATTGCACAACTTTTTAATTTGTGATGTGTTAATGACTTAAATGTTAATGCATAGAGGTTTAAATTGAAAATTAGGAAAGAAGGAATGGAAATAGGCATGGTATGTGTTATCGGGTATAGTTAACTTTGTGTGAGAAACCTTAACAATTGGAATTTGGTAAGTTCTACTGTAAATTCCTGGAGTTACAGCAACTGTCAAATTTTATATTTTTGAGCCCTGCTTATGGGAAATACTTGGATTTGTGATAGTCAGATCTGACATTCTCCTGTAGATGTCTACAGAAGCTCATGTAATATGGAATAGAAGGCAGATTCTTAGCTGGTATAAATTGTTATAGCTCTCTTCAAGTGATTAAAGATTGGAGTGACAAATGACACCAGCTGACGCTATGATCCCAGGTCTTTGACTGGAGTTGGAGAGGATGTCAACCCTGGTGTGTTCATTTTATCCGTTGTGCCAGCTGATCAGCTCCAGACTGTATATACACTTATCATTGAACAGCTAACACCTCCTGGGCTCATGGGGTTGCACATGTAACAACCTGTCAGTTTCCCCAGTGTTACCTGACTAGCTCAAGATGAAGGGACTAGAGCTTCCAAAATGGAGAGCTACTGAGTTTCCAAGGTACCACACTGTTAAACCTCATGAGTTTTCCATCTCCTCTGCTTCCCATAACCAAATAGCTGCCCAGAGTTAACTAAGGGTATGTATAAACTGCATCCCTCTGTCGGCAGAGGGATGCAGATTAGGCAGGTTGACATTGCAAATGAGGTAGGGATTTAAATATCCTGCGCCTAATTTGCATAAAAATGGCCACCGCGTTTTGCCAACTCAGCACTTTGTCTGCAAAAAGCGGCAGTCTAGAGGGGGATCTGTCAAGAAAGAAAGCCTTTTTCGACAGATGCTGTAAACCTTCTTGCAGGAGGCATAAGGGATATGTCGAAAAAGGCTTTCTTTCTCGACAGATCCCCCTCTAGACTGCCGCTTTTTGCAGACAAAGTGCTGAGTTGGCAAAACGCGGTGGCCATTTTTATGCAAATTAGGCGCAGGATATTTAAATCCCTACCTCATTTGCAATGTCAACCTGCCTAATCTGCATCCCTCTGCCGACAGAGGGATGCAGTTTATACATACCCTTAGTTAACTCTGTATGTATGTATGTATGCCATACCTATCCCTTCTTTTCCCTGATTATTAAAACGGTAAAAAGCTTCAAAAAATTACTCTCACCTGTCCCAAGTTCCTTGAGAACATGGTAGCAATAGCAGCCAGGAATACTTTTTCCACCTCCAGATAAGTCTTCATACCTTCCTATTGGACAAGGGCATGGCAACCATGAATGCATTAAACTCAGGAATGGATTATTATCATTCCCTGTACCCAGGGCTGCCTGTTAAGCCCACTCAAACCACATCACAGCCTGTGTGGGACTAAACTGCAGTGAACACATCATACTAGATCTCCCTACTCCTTTTTCATTTCAAGGTTCACTTCATAGACTTTTCCTTTAAACATTTTCTTAGGTTTGGACAAGCTTCTGTAGCATCTGCCTATTGATCCTTAGATTGCTGTGCTTATCAGGAACCCAATGGTGGAAGGGTCCAAAGGGAAGTTGTCAGGGATTGGAAACATTTTCAGTGTTGGGAGGCTATGGAACAAGCTAGCAAAGGAGATCAGAATGTGATTTATTCTGGTCATATTCACCATGCATTGTAAAACTGACCTCTACACCAAAGCCTACCTTGATAACTGGAGCCATTGCAGTGATTAAACAAAATGATCATTTTGAGGAAGGCAAGAGTGGAATTTACCTTTGCATTCCATTTTATGCCTTGTAATTTTACTATATTTCACTGGAACTCTGTACTCCTTGAGAGAGAGTAGTGTATGGAAACAGGAGGATGGAATGGGAAATGTGTTGCACCCTTAGCCACAGTAGTTGCTATCAACAAGACGGAAGCATCCCTTTCTGGTTCCATTTAAAGTCCAATTCAAAACCTATTTTCTGCTTGCGTTGACTTTATTATACATCCCCCCTTGCTTCCCCATTGCTAGACTTTCATCTCTTATGCACACCCACTACTTGATTTAATGTTCCAGCTGAATCTACTTTAACTCTTAATGCAGTTTGACAAATTTACAGTAAAAAGGCCAGTGATCTTTAACATTTAAACTGAAAGGAAAACTAACCCTTAAAGTCCCTCCCCTTTTGGATTGCAATAAACAATTTTTTTCTTTTCCTCATATAATTGCTGACAATCTAAGGCCTCACTCAAGCAAACACAGGCGTACTTAACTTCAAACATATAGGTAGACCTTTTTACTTCAGTAAGCCTACTCACGTGCTTAAAGTACAGCAAGTGAGGTGTTTTTCAGGATCAACGCCTAACACAGTGGTTCTTAGCCTTTCTCTGTTGGAAACTTTTTTGGGTGGCACTGATGTCTCTAGGGTTCTCTTGTACAGTGTTCCAGCATGTTTTCTTTATTCTGTTTTTTCTATTACTATTCTTTTTCTATCTCTGTTCTGTTTTCCTGTTTCCATCTGATTGTTTCTCTCTGTGTATGTTTCTTTTTTGGTCAGTTTCTTTTTTATAAGATTCTTTGTTTGCTTCCTTCCTGTGGTGGTACCATCCTCATTCACTAGAAGGGTATGTGCTGCTTGCGGAGGTGAGATGGTGAGGCTTGTCCAAATGCACTTAAAACATCAGTCAACTATTATGCAGATCCACATGGGACATTTTAAGGAAATTATGTAATGAGAATTCACAGGTTCGAAAATGATTTAATAAACTGTAGAGGCAGCACTAGTGAAAAGCATTGACTTGATTGAACTGGTCAATGAAGTCTTGTGTTGATCAGCAGGGCAAACTTTTCCTTTTCTTTTTTTTTTTTATAATCTCCTCTAATAGATCATTTAAGGTAAGAGCAGCAACAACTAGTGATACACCTGCTGTTGAAATGCTCATCAAAACGCTTGACTTCAATGAAAGTATACTGGATGACTTAAAGGTCTTCCTTCAGGCTCGCAGAGATCCAGTGAGTACCTGTTGCGGACATACCATTAGTTGTCAATTGCAGTGTTCAATGTTAAACCTGCCAAATATTAAATATTTTTTTCCTAGGGTGCAAATCTATTCCATTGAAGTCAATGGGAAAGTGGCCATTGGCTTCCAGAGAAAAAAGATCAGGGCAATATTCCTTATGGCAGCAGGGCTCTCTTTGGGCAGGGGGGCCATCCATATAGACCTTAATGCAGGCGACTGGAAGAGAACAGTGCACAGAATGCATGGGGGGAGGGAAAGTGTTTTAATTTTAGCATGTTATTGAAATGTATACTTAAATCAAATAGCAAATTTAGACTGCTGATCTTGTGTCAGTGATCATATTATTGTTTGTCTTTCAGGATGGAACGCCAGTCCAGGCATTTGTAGCAGAAGTTTTGGGACAGATAGTTGGCATTTCTGTTGTTAAAAATGAAATGGTAAATCTTTGTAATTTTTTTCCATTTTCCCATTTATGATGTCTGCCATGAGTTTGCACAGTGCAATGTTGATGTCATTATTATTGAATTTCAATAGCCCCAGCAAAGATCTTGGTGTTGTGGTTAGCACTGTACTTACGCACAGTAAAAGTCCATTCTCCAAAGAGTTTACAGTCCACACAAAGACAGATAAAGGCTAGCAGAAAGGAAGGTTTATTACCCATTTTTTACAGATGGGGATCTGAGGCCCAGAGAGAAATTAAGGGCCAAATTTCCTGCATCCCAATCTAAAGCCCTAACCACAAAACCATTCTTTCTCTCTATGGGTGCATCTACACTGCACTCGTAGCTTGAAATAAGCTATGCAACTTGAGCTACACAAATTGCGAAGCTTATTTTGAGTCAATTTCAAACTAGCTTATTTTGAAATTTGGTGCTGTCTCCACAACACTTAGTTCGAAATTCATCACTATTCTGAAACTCCCCTCACTCCTCATGGAATGAGGTTTACAGGGACATTGGAATAGCGAGCCCGTTATATTTCAAAATAATGGGTGCGCTCAAAAGACAAGGAGTAGTTATTTTGAGGTACCTCCTGTATCCTGAAATAGCACTGCAGTGTAGATGTAGCCCAAGTGACTTGATTCTCCTTTAAATCTGTTACTATAAACCTGTATTTTGGCCCATATTTTCCAAAAGAGAAAATGAGCAGTTTGTCCCAGCATTCTGAAAATGGTACTTCTACTCTTCTGGCTGTTTTTTTCCACAATAAATGTGTATACTGTGTTTTACTCAGAAGCTAACTTCAAATAAATTAATGTTGTTTTCAAAAATAGATAAAGGGGGCAGGTGGTGCTAAAAGCTGACAGAAAAGCTGTCAACTGTAATTGGGCAGTGAAAAGAGTGAATATTTCCGGTTCCATTTTATGTTAGTTGCTGCAAATTTAAAACTTTCCTGACATTTTGCTGATGCTAAAAAGGGAAAAACTTTTTTGAAAGATGTGTAATACAGTAATTCCTCATTTAACACTATAGTGATGTTTCAGAAAAGGATCGTGTTAAGTGAAAACGTGTTATGCGGGGTCAATTTTCCCATTGAAAATAATGGAAAAGGTGGGGGTTGCGTTTCAAGCGGTGGTGTCTGTTGGGACTGGGACATAAGGTTGGGGGAGAAAGGGGACTGGGTTACAGCAGAGAGGGGAGGTGTTTGGCTCTGGGGAAGGGAAGGGATGGGAGATTGAGTTGGGAGTATGCCTCTGTGATGGGTCTGCTGGGACTCGCACTGCATCCAGTGAGGTGAGGTTGCCAGGGAATGGCTGCTTTGCAGGGAGGCGAGGGAGGCCCCGCGCGGCTCCCTGCAACAGGCCGGCTGGGGAAACCCAGCCACCGGCCTGCAAGCAGAGGTGGAGGAGAGGGGGCAAGGCGTCTGGCGAGGGGGAGTCAGCGGGGAATGGCACAGCAAGCGGTGAACCTTCCGCCACTTTGCAAGGAGGCAGGGGAAGCCCCACGCAGCTGCCGGCAATGGGCCAGCTGGGGAAATCGTGTTATTCTGGGGACGGTTGTGTAATTCAAAAAATGTTCCCTAAAAGAAAAATTGTGCTATCACGAAAACATGTTAAATGAGGAATTACTGTACTCCGTTTTTAAACCCTGTCAAGCAAGGTAAGGACCAACCATCTCTGAAAACAGAGATCTCTGTAAGGTGGCTAAATTAGTGGAAGCCCCAGCTCTCCGAACAGGATGATGAAGGAACACCTGCACTGGGCTCCTTCCAGAGATTTTTTTTTTCCCAAAAAAAGTCTCCTTCTCAGCTTTTACTGTGTGGAAGGCAGTCTGCCCATCTGCCTGACACCTTGCAAAATAGAAAACATATTTCTTTGTAAATAGCTGTCAAAAATGTCAGGTGTTTGTGCTTTACTGCTGGTGTCAGATATACATTCCTTATAGTAAATAAAGCATGACGAGTTACCCAAATTCATTTTGATACAAAGGAAAGATTGTGAAGAAGCACTTGTTTAGGCACTGCATTTTGCTAGTGAATAACTCTCCAGGTGGTCTTGTTTGAATGCTCAGATTTCATCATTAGTCAAAATAAATGTAGTTTGCTGTCACATTTTATCACAAAACCACAACTTTTTCATCATCACTGATTTTAAAATGTCTTGTTTCCTAGGATATTGAATATATCCGTTCACATTACAACATTGAAGATTTTATTTACTTCAGTCATCACCAGCGGGAGGAACATGGCCATCTGTACCACTTTGCTCTAAATCCCATATTCCATCACTATACCAAACATTTTCTGAAAGAGATCCTTCGCTTATCTTATAAGTCTTGCCTCTACTACCCTATTTATCCACAGCCTGTGGAGGGCAAGGTAAAGGAAAAAGTTGGTAGTGCTTCTATTAAATATCATACAACCTGACTTTTATTTTCCTTTGTTTGTTGGATTGATTACTGCATATATGGTGGGTGTTTGGTATAGAGAAATGTCTTCAGAAATGTTGCAAACAACACTTTATTCTACTCTGACCATACAATCTCCATTTGTGTTGATGGGTGACATGTGGCATGGCTGGATTGTGGCTTTGCTGCAAGCCCTGTATTTGGGGCAACACATTTAATGTGCTTCCTCAATGTGGGAATCATGCCTCAGGTAGAAATGATTTGCTGTCTACCACCCCACTTGCTTCAGTGGGAGAGGTAGATTAATTTTTGTCTATACCATTACTTTCCCCTCAGCTTCCACGATGTATTCGTCAGCAGTAGCCAAAGCTCTACCCATTCACTACTCACGTCCAATGTAACTGCTCTAGGACAGATTAGTAATACCCCATTGCCCTTGCCTCACCTGGACACAATGTTCAAATAGCCAAATAGGCTCTACGTTTTGTCTCTGCATGAAAGCATAGGTGAAGAACAGTTTGCTCATGTTGTGTATCAACTAGGGAATATGACATGATATATTCATTGAAATGCTAATGCAGCTTGTGTACCCTTAAGTGACTTGCTCATCAGTTACATGGCGTATTTTAAAATGTCAAGATATAAAACGTTCATATTGCACTTGGATGCAAACTGCTATTCACATCTCAGTAGTCAGAGCTCAGGGCACTCAGTGTAGACATAGGCAGTCACTGAAAGTCCGTGGCACTTTGGCGTCTCAGTCACTTTTGAAAATAGGACTTAGGCTTGTAGGTAACTTAGACACATTTGAAAATTTTACACTAAATCTCCTTTTCTTTTCTAGCATGGGGCCTGTCTAGACAGAAAGCAAACTAGGATGTAACACTAGTATGCTGTTTATGGCCATGTAGACCATTCTACTGTGCACTCACAGTTCCCTACTTCACATTGACCTATTCCCATTTCAAAATACAGTAAATCAAAACACACTATAGGATACTTTTAGTGCAATGTGGCAAGTTCCACACTGCCAGTTAGTACACAGCATGTTAGAACACTATCAACATACATCTCAGCTTGCCATGTACTAATTCTCTGTGTTGAGAAGCCCATCTAGGAATACACATGATGAATATATAAATTTTCAGGATAGTCATTTTGCTTCTCCAGCATGTATACTTCTAGATAGATTACCATTCTTCGGCCTTTAATAATTGCCTCCTTGAGAAACTAACCTCATTGAGTAACATTTGTCTTTTATGGTTCTCTACTTCCATTGTTGTGAATGACACTTAAACAGGGATGGATGGAGAAGATGAGTTAAGTCTCAGTAATATTTTCTTCCTGGTCTATTTCTAGATTAAAGCAATTTAGCTGTAACTCAGCAATGTATTCTAACTGGTAAAATATTATTCTGTTCAGCTTACATTATAATAACATTAATCATGATTAAGTTTTTGGTGTTTGTGGCTATGATGTCGACTTCAAAGGCACTTCGGTGTAATTTGCTTTCTGTTAATGTCCACTCTGTTTCTGATAATTCTCCTATTTTGTCTCTTCCTATTTTGATGTGTAATTGGGCCAGTCATACTGGAATAAAGGCTGCTTCTAATGACCTGCACTATCCAAGTTAACATTTGGGAGTTTTGTTCAGTTCAAATATTTTCCACTTTATTAACATTTATCGCTTGGATGAAATTGACATTTCAGTCAGTATAGATTTTCTATATAAATTCTTACACCAGCGTTTGCCAAGCAAGCAAAGGTTAACAGTAAGCAGATAATACAGCTTAATGAGGTCAAATCAAGCTGATTCATGATCACTGTGGAGAAAAATATCCTCCTGGGGAAAATACTTGTGCTGAAAAATCCCATAAACCAAACCACTTGTTTATCTGTCATTCCCACAGAGATAGTAATGTAATTACTCTCATAATTATCTTCATTAGTGTCAGGAATTATCCGCAATTCATTCCTCTGCTCTGACTGTGTTTGTTTGTTTGCTGATTTTTCTCTGATTTAGCCAACAGAGTTAAGAATTTTGTATTTGCAAAGCCATACAACAGACATCTGTGATGCACTGTTCTGACATTCTCTGTGCTAAAATATAGATTGCTGTCTTTCAGTTTCAGAATCCCTATGCCCATTCCCTGACATCTGCCCTTCATTACATGGTTCCCGTGCGACCAAGACGACAGATTGTCTATCCTCTGGAAAAGCTTGGCATAAACGCTCCATCAAAGCAGGTCTCCAAGGATCAGGTGGGTAACAGAAGCAGCAGCAGGCAAGAGGCATAGTGCCAGCTAATGCAGGGTTTGGCAGATGGGATGACATTACTGTCTTAGTGTTGATAGGCTGCTTCTTAATTACATTCAATGTGGTGTTCATACCCTTACAGTCTAAGCTTTTCTTATGCCCTACTGTATCTCTTTCAAAGCATATATTACCAACTGAATATTATAAACCACATCCAATGAATGCTACAGTGTTTCCCTATTAGTAAATATTTTCAGGTTTGCTATACTTCCTACAAAATTAGTTTGAAACTCATAGATTTTAAATTATTTTAAACATAGCTGTTTGTACTGATGATTTTATCCTCTCATTACTTTATGGTGGTACTCTGCTTTCAAGACAAAAAGTGCAATGATACACTTCTGACAACTTGTGTAGAAATACTGTTTGATATGTTTTTAAATCAATTTATTCTTAAAACTCACAGCCAGTTTCATTTAATGCTCCAGAATCCCTTCAAAAACCATTGCAAAGTGCCAGTAATGATTTAACAGCAAATCCCCTTAGTCAAAGTATATATTTATAGAACTCTCATAGGCTTAGGGATGCTAAACTGGAAGCTTGTTAAAGTTACATTTGTTACACTTTTGTGCATTAAAATATCTTTATTTTTTAAATGACTAAAATCTATAAAGATGCTTTCTTTTAAGTAACCAGCGAAGTTAAAATATCAGGAAAAAAGCCTAATACCCGTGATGGATATTTTCTGTAAGTGGATGTAATTTACTTGGGGAAACATAATTAGAGAATTTTATATCTCTTTAATACTAAATTCCCCTTTGTCAGGATCTTGTATAATATCCTTTAGCACTGTCCCTCCATAACTGGTAGGTAGTTTGTGGCATTGTATACTTTTGATTAGTCATCAATTGACAGAGCAGAATTCCAGAACCTGTCTTAGGCAATTGGATTGCATGTTGCTTTTTGGAACAATCCTTCCTTTCATATAATATGTCTCCTGCCTGCCTATTCTCTGCCTCATTGGGTGCCTATCCTTTTCCATTAAACTGCTTCCTATGTATCTTAAAATTACACTGAAGTTGCCTTAATGGCAGAACCACTTTTTCTGGAATCACCAAACACTACCCTGACTTCTCATTTTTGAGACTTGTGTTTATGGGTTTCATCAAATGCTATACACAAGTTCTTCCTGAGGATTGTGGGTAGGATTAGTGGGAATTGCATGAAAGTTCCCAAACTTAATTGATTCATTTTATATGAAAAGTAAGGACTTTTCAAGTCACCATTAGCATTTTACTGAAAGAGAAATAGAGCTTAGCTGCTTTGCTGGGGTCCTCACATAGACACTAACATTCAACAATTATTTCCAAGGAGCTATTTTCCATCTAAACTGGAGGCCTGGGGATGCTGAGTCTCCAGTAACTTGAGGGTTACTCTAGTCCACTACTACTACTCATAGCTTTTTGAAGTAACAGTAGCATGAAACCGGCAACACTAAACAGTGGTTTCTGTTAAGTAAACACTGTGGCCACAATGAGTCATTTTAATAACTGGAGGCAGCCTAGTGAGTGGACTGATTGTCCTACTGAAAATACGAGGAAGGCTCTGCTTTCTGACACTGTCTATGTCAGCGATTCTCTCTGTGGTCTTTAAGTCACTTCCCTCTCCTCCTTCCCTCATGCACTGAAAACTCTCAGGAAGGAAGAACGGGAGCCATAAATAAACCTGTTCATCCTGCAAAATATCACAGCCAAGTCACCAGTGTAATGTGATGAAGGAGACTGAACTCTACAGCTAGAACTAATAAAATCAAGTGTCATCTAGTGGATGTGATTATTACATTTTTATGATAGTCTCATAGGATCCAGCCAGGCAGAGTGCACACAGAAAAAAGTGATCTCTGCCCTGAAGAGCTTAAAATCTAGACCAGACAAAAAGTGCATAGACTGAGGTGATCCCATTGAAAAATGTCATTTTGGTTCCACATTTTAAAAAAAAGTCTGCATTGTGGGAGCACAGGTACAATAAGTGGGGTTGGTGAAAGGGATGAGCTAATAGGAGCCAA